TCAATAATGCAATGACTAGAGGAATAAATGGTGAGAGCTATAAGAAGAGTACCTTGTCGAACGTGGGAGGTTGACAGACCTTGAGCTGCTTGATTGGCTTCAAGAAGCTTTATAAATTGCTACATCTAATTTTTTAGTGATTTGGAGGACTCGGGGATGTTTAGAGTATGAAATGGTTGAGTCGTGCCTTATTTGATCGTCGTTGTGAGTCCCTCGGCAGTAGAGGATTTGGCCAAAGGTTTGTATGTCAGTTTACCGTGAAGTTTCCAACATTTATCCCGAGTGTGGTTGGACTTGTGACAATAATCACAAGTGAAGTTACCAGTTCGCGGTGGCATCAATGAGGGCTTAGCACTATTTGAGATCAAAGCGGATGACTCAGCTGAAGGTGTAGAAGTACCGAGCATGACAAGTTTCTTGTTTTCTTCCCGACGAAACTCGGTAAAAACAACACGAGCAGTAGAAAGATGATCCCGATCAAAAATACAGCACCGCACCTCATCAAGGTTTTTGTTAAGACCAACATAGAATTGGAACATACGATCCTTTTCTACGAGCTTCTAGAAGAGGGATAAGTCCGTAGGAGAATCTCAAGTATAGTCGTAGTATAGGTTGCATTTCATTCATAATGCAACAAGATCATTATAGTACTGAGTCACGTCATTGACCCCTTTTGCTTCCCGAATTTTCTTAGATATCACATAGAATTAGCAGAAATTTCTCACATCCGAATAGGTATCACGGACAGTCGTCCAGAGAGCACTAGAAGAATGAATGAACATATATGAACGACCAATCGAAGTCTCCATGGAGTTGATCAGCCACAACATGACCATAGAGTTCTCCACTTCCCAGGCTCTATAAACAGGTCAGTCTTTGAAGGCTCGGAAATCAATCATGTGAGGTAATTGAACTTCCTACGTTCTTTGATAAACAAACACACTGCTTGGGACTGTTAGAGAAAGTTACTGTCGTTCAATTTATGGGTAGTGATAAAAAAGCTCATGTTGATTTCCAGTCCTCCGGTATGCAAGGGAACGGAGGTTGAATTCGATCCTCTGGTAAAATCAAAAACAGCTTCTAAAGGTGATTCAGTTTTGGAGGTCCGATAGAGCCAAAGGAGATGTTATGGTTCTGAAACATAGATGAATTCCAGTAACGTCACAACAGAAAGATACAATTGTGGGAATTTGCATACTTGCACGAAACTACAAAAGGTTGTTAGGAAATAGACAGGAACCTGCAGAAATAAAATCAAGAAACTATAGAAGGTTGTCAAGATTCAGACGGAACATGCGGGAATAAACTGCAAGAATTCGACAGATGAATTCCAGTTTATGGCAGATGTTGTTGCTGGAACAGGCGACTATAGAACCAATGAAACCTGCGACTGGAAACATACGAGAAAGTGCAACTAGCGGCTAGAACTAGAGACTGACGAGATCTGCGATTGTTGCTTATTATAGTAAATGTGATGCTGCTGCTGGAAACATGCGCCAGTAGAAAAGGCAGATGGCAGCGCTTGTAGAAGAAGGAACTGCCGACTAGTGGAAAAAGTGGAGGTCGGTGGCTGCTAGAACTAGCAAAAGAGGTCGGCGGCTGCAAGATCTAGGTTTATGCTCTGAACCCATGTTGAGAATTGGAATTGAAGAGCTCAATTCAATTTTAGTGATAGACGAGGGGATATTTAAACCCAAATACAATAGACGCAACAAAAGAAAGAAATAAAACAAAATAAAATAAATCGAAAAAGTATAAAATAGAATAAGGCGAAGAAGAAAATACATAACGAGGGAATTGAAGCTAATAGCATGAAATAATAAGTAATAATGGTCAGGAATTTAATTAGAATTTGATTGCCATAATAATAATAATAATAATAATAATAGTCTCAAGCAAAAATAAACCCTAATTCAATTCGAAATTAGTATAATAAAAGAGTGTACAAGGACCAATCCAACAAAGTAGCCTAAATTTTCCGTTATAGAAGTTTCGGGACAGGAAAGTCCTTCCTGTCCAACTCCTACGACGTAGGAGTTTGAGGAATCCCATTGCTGCTCTAATGTCACTCTCCTTGAGTAAGATAGGCTACACTTTGATCTCTGAAAACATCTAGATCCTTGTAATTCGACAAAAAGTCAATAACATTAAATGCAACAGAAATATAGTAATCTCCCAAAAAAAATCAATCTTTTAGGCATTATCTTTGATCAACTTAGTAATTTTGAATGGACTATCAGCTTTAAGCTTGAGCATATCGCAAAAGAAACAAAAAAAATCTATTCTTCAATCTGATCAGTATTGTCACCCTCGTTAAAGACGCTACTTGTCCTGAACATTTTTGTTTGCTTTTGATATTTAATGTTTTATTAAATAATGTTTAACCTCACAACTCATGTAACTTATGAATCTCATGTTCACGTATGTGTTAAACTCGATAGCTAGAAGCATTGGCACTAAATCTTAGTAAGAGGAATTTGATCCTATATAATCTCAAATGAGCTATGATCTATAGACTAACTAGTGGATTGGTTTAAGGCAAACTTAACCTGCAAAAAATCAAATCTCACTGATGTTTTTTTCTCACAAAATACATGAGAAGATTACCCAAATTGTAATTTACAACCTCTATATGCCCATCTTTATGTGGGTGAGCCGTTGAACTGAACTGAACTGAAGTAATATGCCAAGCTTAACCCATAGGGTCCACCAGAAATGGTGTAGAAACTTAACAGCTCTATCTGAAGTGATGGTTATGGGCATGTCATGAAGACAACAATCTCCTTGAAAGTATAAGTTTGCATCGTGTGACACGTCCATCGATCTATAATAAGGAACAAAATGTGTAATCTTGGAAAAATAGATTACCACCATCATAATAGAATTCTTACTTTGTATGTCCGTGGCAAACCCACCACAAAGTTTATGCTTGCATCTAACCGAAGTGTTTCTGGAACTAGAAGGGGAGTGTATACAGATGTATTGTCTTCAAGTTTTAGCCAAATGACAAAAGTGTTTCTGGAAAGGGGAGTGTAGACAGATGTATTGTCTTCAAGTTTTAGCCAAATGACATCCTACATTATCAGACATATCTCTTCACATCATGTACTAATCTGGGCTGGTATAAATTGACTTCACTAAAAAAATAAGCTAAATGCTAAGTATCAGAAGCAAGCAAAAAGTTTAGGAAAGCCCAGGTCGCTAAGAAAGGTGACTTTGTGTGAATTAAATTGAAGAAGAAAATGTATCCTACGTAGTAATTTGGAAAACTCAAGCTTTTAACTAACGGTCTATTTAGAAATGTTAAGAAGATCAATGACATTGCATATAAGGTAGATATATAGAAATACTGCAATTTGCTACCTTTAACATCATTGAATTGTTGTCCTACTACGGAAATCTAGAAGCTTCTAGGGAGGTGAGTAACATGAGAGTATCCCGTCAAGCACGAAAATTTTTATCAATGGTGAATGGCACACTATAACACAAAAGTCTCCATAAAGCTATAACGCATAATGCATAGCGTAGCACACGCCATTTTAAATATTGCACAAAATATTAAAAACATTAGTAAAAAAATACAAGTAAATGTGAAATAACATTAAATTGAAAGATAAAATAGCATGAACATAAAAAAGAAAACTTAAATTCAAGTGTCTAATATCTCAATTACTTAAATTTAAAAATATTATTACATTTTACAATTCTAATATTTTTATAAATAATTAAATTAATCATTCGAAGAATTATCATTATCATCATAAGTCAAGTAACTTTATTTTTTTCATCACCATTATTATAACCTCATGAATTATAATTTCCATCATCATTCTCATCGAGCGAGTGGAGCTCATTATGTATTGCGAAATTTTCCTACGTGCCACATAATTCTTATATATTTACATATTCAGAACCTAAACTTTATTATTTACATATATAGTATTTCGTAACATAATCACATTAAATTATATTCATGAAAAGGCGCACTTCAATTTTAAAACATAGTATTACTGGTACTTTTGATTTAATATTAAAAATGAGTGTTATATAAATATATATTAAAGTTTATATCTTAAATGTGCAAAGATAAAAGAATTGAAACAAATGTATCTAAATTTACTTATCATTTTTTTAAATTAAATCTTAAAAATCAACTTAGCATGCATCATAAGAGCAATGCGCTGTGCACAATTGCCCATGCATGGCCTAAATGAATCACGTCATTTTAGTGCATCTTATCATGCCATGCAAATAGAACAGAGTATACTGCATAGAGCCATGAGCAAATGGCAGACAACATTTTCTACCATCAACATGTATGGGCGAGACAAGCACGAGACAAATGCGAGATGAGATTTTTTCGTCCAGTTAAAACCAAAGCGAGAAAATTCCAGCCTGCTGCTAGACCATCGGCCCTATAGGTCCTTGTTCATCTTATATTGATTTATAATTAGGGTTTAATATGTGTCTTGGTACAAGTATGTAGCTTGGAACCTAACATGTCACATTTAGGTTTCGATTTATTAAAAATAAACTGTTTTCTTTAGTTTTTCCTTGCCAAATTATAGTATCATTTGATCATTCTCAAATGATTTACCTGTAACTTGAGTGGATCTACGTGTTGATATCTCTCAAACAACCAAGGACCTCTGATACCACCTGTTTAGCAGCTGACCTGCAATTTTCTAGTTCTGGTTTGCTGTCCCAGCCACTAAGTGTAACGATTTCTTAGCCACCAGCAACTTTTCACCCTCCTTTCTCATCCTACAACTTACCTAACTGCTCTCTTGATCGCCCCGTCTACCAACCTTAGATTGATGCCATCCAAAGTGCCAAATGCTAAAAAGAAAATACTGTTTAAAGCACAAATTTAAACACAACAAAGATGATAGAAGAGAAAAAATGCAAAATTTTAACAACTACTCATTTTAAGAAAAGAGATTGACGATTAGAAGGTAGTGGCAAGCATGTTGGAGGCCATTCAGTTTCAGGATGAGAGATCCACTTTTCTACTCATGCACTAAGCCAGCGAAACCAACCCATTGGAAATAGAAATATACAATTTCATAAAAAAGATAAAAATTAGAGCACAAATATAATGAAATCCCTGAGCACTTGTATACCATTTAGGGATGCATTCAACTCCACCAGCGTTTCAATAAGTAATAAGCGAATTCGCATGCTAGAGGATGCTGGTTGAACTCAACACCCCAAAACAAAAGAAAAGTTTAAAAAAAAAAATCATTAAGAATAACTTACGGAAAAGGGTGCTGGGCAAGTACCATAACTATTGCTTCTCTTGTGCCATCTTTTTCCTTATCTCATGTGCTGTATTAAAAATACCCAGCGTTGGTGTGTTGCAAATAAAGCATTTCTTGTTCTTTGAATGATGCTGCACATCAAACGGCAAAAGAATGTTAAGATCTAAAGGAACAAATAAGTATGGAAGATGAAATCATGAATGATGCTTAAAGACAGAGCATGACGATTTCTAGAGAAGTAGCCAAATGAAGTAGCTCCTCGTAAGACCTTTAGATATCTATGTAAAATAGCTCCTGAAGCTAACTGAATAAAATAAGATGGCCGCTCTAATAATATTGATGGTGTTGATGGTTGGTTCATTGTTAATATAAATATGGTCATACAGACTGAGGTGTGATACATCCCTAAAGGAAAGTATTAGTTCTGGATTAATCCAATTTATCCAATCAAGGAACAAAAAGTCATGCTGACGCAATTTTTGTGTAATGGTTGTATAAAAGGATAATGGTCTTTCAAAATCTACACTTCCGGATCATCTAAAGATCCATGAAAACACTTCAATCAAAGACTAAGGGGGTCATTATCAATCTCCAAGCCATCAACACAAATCTAGCAACTCGATGGAGATATCCAAAAACAGTAATCTCAAGGTGGATTCATGCAGTCATCACTTTGCCCTACAGATACAATGATTAAGCACCGATCTTTAGAGATGACCTGTATCGATCCTAAACCCTCCAACCAACCAAAGGACTAAAATGCCCCAATCAAACAGCATTTTCATCAAGTGTTAATCCAAGAGACCAAGCATCTCTCCAGATTTACCATTTATCTCTAAAAAAGAATCAAACCATCCATCAACCACACCATAATAAAAAAACAATATGAGGAGAAAAGTTAAGTATTTTAAATTCAATTCAAAATTTTGATGCAGACCAGACAAATTCTCTTGACTAATGACCAATATGCTTGAGGCTTAAGAAGAGAGAAGCAATCACATCCAATTAACCAGACCAAGTTTAAAAATTAGGACCCCTGCCCAATAAGATGAGAATAGAATTAGAGTTGATCCAACTAAATCAACTTGGGAATCTAATTGTTCAAAAACATGCTTAGCTCGACACAAATACATTTGGATGATTTAAGGCACCTTTAATTAAAGTATTTTGATATACAATTGACATTTTAAAACAGAACGGAAATTAAAAGTGACATAATTTCAAACAAATTCATACAAGATGCCCAAGTCTATAATTATCCATCGTTCTTAAAGCGTTATAGTGTCCAATCTAACATTTCTTAAAATAAATTGCTTAATAAAACACAAACCAAACTATGCAGAGGCTTAGTGAATCTTAGATCCCATCAGAATCCATCCGATTAGGATCCCTACTGCTCACCCTCTTGATTCACATCCCTGCCCTGTACTGACAATTCACTTGTAGATAAAATACAAAAAGTGAGATAAAACTCAATGAAAAGATTAATGCATTATAATAGAATGCATGCTCTATGAGATTGCTTAATACAGTCATAGAAAGCACTAAAAAATTCAAACATAATATATTCATAAGTGTTAATAAAAGCATAACTATTAGATTATATTATAAATTCATGCAGCCACTTGTCATAATCGATATATAATCATCTTCAAGTCACGCATAATTATTATATCCCACCAGTTTGGCTTGCTTGACGTGCTTTCCATTCGACGCTTTAGAACTAAGCTCCAGGACCTACGATCTTCATATTCACTTGTCATCAATTACCATATTCTAGAGCTACATTTAGTAGAGCCTGTCAGCCCAAGTTATCATATATTAGTACCATAGAGCACAATCTATTTAGTATTCATATGCTAGTGTCACAGTTCATAATAAGGTATCCAATATGCATATACAATGGACACTTTAAGAGAAAAAAACTACGAAATTACTTTCATAATGCGGAAAATTAAACTAAAATAATGTTTCAAGAACTTCCATCCCAACATAGTCATAAAGAGCTGAGTATCCCTCACAGCCTTCTCACTGTCACAACTACTTTCTTCACTCATAATAAAAAATTCACAGCCTTACTTTTCCTTTTAAAGCTCAAGAAGTGACAATAACAGCTTGATCTCATATCTCTCATAATCTATGATGGCCTTCTCGAGTAGTATCTCTAATTTCCTAATTATGACACAGATAATGACCCTTCATATCATTAGATTGCCTACTCTTAGCCACTAGGTAAGGCCTCCCAATAGTTATGACAAGCGGAAACTTTATATGGATTATTTAATTCCACTACTTCCACATGAATAGTCGTATTGCCTGATTTAGTCCAAGGTAAATGGCTGGATAAAGAGGGGACCACTAAAAGTTCTTCATAAAATCCAAATATCCATCAGAAATGTAACACAAATGAGTCTCTTAAATCTATTTGGCACTTCAAATTGGCTATTGACAAAAAATCCATTTGATCATATAAAGTTACTCCTAAATATATTTTCATCCACTCAGCCATCAACCCCTTCACTTATCCTATTAGAAATCATCTTCACACCTTATAAAACTACTCTGCAAGCATTAAATTGGCAATTCCTAATTGAATTGCCATGGCATTAATCTATCTGTTACTAAATTGAATCAGATCAACCAACATGGGCCTGGCTTATGCTCTTGATCTGGACATCCATCTTTGGTCAAAACAATGAAAAGATTAGGTTTAAATACTTTAGGAATTATAATCCCGCCGCCCCAATTAAAGAATTTCATCTTTGAAATTTATACAAGCACTCATGAAGAGGTAAAGACACATGCATCTCCTCTCAGTATCTACTTCACATTCAATTTGATTATTTCAAAGAATGTTGACCATCAGAATCTTCTTAGTACACGATGATTGACATTGTTGAGCTAGGTTCTGCTTTGGTTGGTCTTCAAAATATAAATTAGGATGAATTTTTATCTCTTATAAGTCATAGGAAATGACAAACATTGAGCCCAGAAGATATTGCTTGAGTGAAGAAATATAGAAGAAATCGTGCACTTCCTAACACCGCAATAATATCAAACTCTATGCGATTAAACTAGCACACACAAGAGTCTTAAAAGTCCAATAAATCATAGAGCTTTCCCTAGACAATTGACTAATCCTCAGGAAGAGTTGATCACCAGCATTACAGTGGAATCTTTATACTTTGGAGCCAAATACTTCTGTTGATCTTACACCATCTATAATCTTTCCAGAATAACTCGTCTTCTTAAATTTCTCATCAACCAACTAATGTCCAAAGGTGAATCTCTCCATCCATCTTCAATTCAACACAACAATGATATGCATCTTCGCTCATACAAGACCATATGGCGCCATTCCAATGCTTGCTTAATGATTTTTGTTGTATGAAAACTGTACTAATAAAACAATGTTATCCCTAGCTATCCAAAATCAACAACACAATCTGAATAGATTTTCAAATGGAATGCCAACTAAAAACACCCATCAATCTGCAGATGAGTTCTTAGGGCTTTTTTGGATACACTTCCACAAATTGGACATAAATTACTCGTCCCAATCATACACAATGGTGTATGACATCATGTGGTCGACCAATAGTCACTAACTAAACTTAAGCAAGATTAATTATGTTTGTATTTGACGAAACAACAAGAAGATAGCACTATTTGTGAAATGGTCTGCAGTCACCTAAACAATGTCATGTCCTAATGACAATCATGACATTCTGATCACAAAGTCCATCACCACACCATCCTCTTGCAAAAGTTGTAAAGTTGTATTCGGTATTTGGTGTTCGGTCTTAACAACCAAACAGTATAGCATTTCCTCACAGATTCAATCATATTGTTCTCAAGTCCAGTCTATTAAAAGTATTACTCCAAATACTGATACATCACATTGACTCCAGGTTGGATAATATATTTTGAAACATGTGATTGTCATAAAATGATTTCTCTCCAATCATTTGTGGATTAGTACGCCGAGTCATACTTCAAAATTGACAATTTCATTGTCATCTTCTTGAAAATCTTCTCAGCTTATCCTCAAGCGCACAACCTCAATTTAGCCTGCTCTGAATCTTCCACTTAAGCTTGGGTTAGCTTTTAATATTTGGGAAGTAATGCCCACATCATTCAGCAAACAAATTATAGTATTATAACAGAATTATTAGTAAGAACATCAACTACCATGTCGGCTTTCCGAAGATAATAATGAATTTTCGAATCATTGTCTTTTAAAAATTCTAGCCATTGTCTCTGCATCAACTACCATGTTGGCTTTCCGAAGATAATAATGAATAATCATTGTCTTTTAAAAATTCTAGCCATTGTCTCTCATAAGTTGAGCTGTTTTAAGGTAAATTAGTATTTCAAGTTCTAATGGTTAGTAAAGTTCTCAAAAGGGACACCAAAAAGGTAAGGCCTCTATACCTAGAGGGATGAAGCTAACTCCAAATAGTGTGCAGTTTAAGCCATCTTGATGTGGAAGTGCTTACTCAGCCATTTTGCAACAACAATTATGTGAGTATCTACATGGAAGCATCATAATAAATATGAAACACTTCAGTCCCATCTGACAAACTAAAAACATTTGTTGCAATGAGACATTTTCAACCGTCAAAAATCCTTCTTGTCTATGTTTATACTCTCGAACTTCATTTCCTTCTAAAGTAGTTAGTTCAGTGGGGTTATTTTCTGAGAAAATGCATCAATGAATCTTCTATATCTAAACAATTCAATATAGCTTCGAACTTCTGATACACAAGTTGGACTCACCAAATCTATTAGGGTGACGATCTCCTGAAAGTTTACAAGGATACCCAAAACACTAACAATGTATTTCAAAAAGAAATCTTAATAAGTTAAAAAGCACTACTTTTGCATCCAATCAGTGAACATGCAAGATGTGCAGTATAGTTCGTAAATGCACCGCATGCTAGTTTGGCCTTGCAAGTAAATTAAACCATCATCTACGATGCTATCACAAATCGATCAATATAAGGTTGAAACATTTTATTTATTAAATCCCTGAATGTTTTTGGCACGCTATGCAATCCAAAGAGCATAATAATAAACTCATAATGGCAAGAACATGTCCTAAAGATTTTCTTCAACATATTTTGCTCCT